CTTGTTCTTGTGCATATGATTAGAGTTTGGCATTTTTAAGGTGAAGGCTAGGAAAATAAAGTGGTATCGTCTTCAGTTCGAGGCTTGTATTTCCCTTTGTATCCTTCAGTTCCCTTCAGTAACAGCTACCCTTGCAGGAAACTAATACAGGCTCTGGGCTTATTCACAGAAGTCTCCAAACCAAGCCCTGTTTCAGTGAGACTCGCATTATACATCCCTTGTAACAACTGGTGCTTCTTAAGCTTGCTCCCAGAATAACTACGTGGATCAAGTTTTGTCATCTCCCTCATCTTAAAGCTTACACTTCTGATTGTCCTGTTTAGAAAGAGGGTTGCCAACTGAGAAGGAGGGGGAGTGAACAAGAGTTGGTGGAATATCCATTTCTTATTAAAAATAGTTCTTACAAAAATAGTTTTTGTCCTGACTTGTAGAGAAACTCTATTTCCTTGGTGGCTTGTTGCTGATCCCTGTTCTTGTCTGCTTGACTTCCGCCCTGCAAAACAGGTGTAGAGATGCTATAAGTAGCAAGAAGTCCAATGCATGCAGTGAGTTCCTTGCAGACTCTAAATTACAGTTTTCCTTCCTGTGCCACAACCTCAGGTCCCTGACCTGCAACTGCAGCATATTTTCTGTGACTAATAGCTGTAATTCCCTAATTATCATGCTCTGTTCTCCTGCTGTGCTGTAGATTTTGTTGCCAAGGAAGCAAACCAAGTTTCCTCATTCCTACCCTTGCTCCGTATACTTCCAACTGTTTTAAATCCACCATTTGATGCAGCCCATAAAGACAAATGACTATCTCTTGTTTCAAATATTCAGTCTCCAGAACATGTTACGTAGCTACATGCTGGGGACGAAGAGGGCAAAGTAAGTCTTTCTGGCCTTTCTTTTAGTGAAGGCAGTTGGTCCAAAACTATTTCTAGGTTAGAAAAAGTACCTTTATTAACTGTAACCATCCTGTGTGGAGTACTGGACTAAAGATGCTCTCAGGCAGTGGGCCCAAGTAAATGGTACTTCTATAATGTGACTGACAAAACTTCTTTAAACCCCTGGAAAACGAAGTTGGGCATTAAACACTGATGGCAGGTTTTAGGTGTGTGCTGTAATTGGCATACAAGCCTCATGGTTTGAGGATGACTGACATGGTAATGGGGCCAATAGGTCAGTTTTCTTTTTGCCCTCACTGTTTTTGAGGTTGGGGAAAAATGACTCTATGCCAGATAGAAAGAGAATAAACCTGTGCTAGTCTAGATGGCTAGAGCAATACAGCCAGACTGCATTATGACAGATAAGCAGCTAATTAAAATGTCACAGAAACATGTTAAGCAGCAGGAAAACCATCTAGTTTCCTAAAAACCTACGACTTAATATTTAACCTGTGAAGTATGCAAAGGCACACTTGTGTACTGCACGCATGTTAGGCTTTATTGGATGATGCCCATCATTTTCCTGCAGGATGCACAAAGGCAAGTCTAATGCTCTGTGCAGTTGTCAGTTTGGACTTGATCAGTCTAACGTGGCTGTGTCCAAGACATTCGCATAAAGCCCCCATTGCTCTTCGTGGGATTCGGTGACAAACAGGAATACTTTCCACGGGCCCAGCTTCCAGTAATTAATTCATGTCTTGCTCCAGAAATATCATCCAAGTTGCAACATGAATGATGTCTCCTAGGTCACGGGATAAAAATTACTGACTCCACAGGGGGTTTGGTGCTTGACTCCTCTGACCGCTAAACCGAGAAGGGGGAGGCTGCTCCTTCCTCTGGATCACTGGACTTAAATCCACAACAGGGTCTAGCAAACATGACACCCAAAGCCGGGGGGGAGGTCAATAAAGGAAATTATCTGTTTGGCCTCAATCAGAGGAAAAGAAAAGATGCAATACAACTGCCAAAGTAAAGGAGTAAGTTTAAAGACTACAGCAGATGTCCCTAGAACTAAGACTGTCTGTAACTGCTTTATCTGCAGACTTCACAAAGGACTTTATAGAGTGCATCATGTAGCTGACAAGCATGGATCAAGTATGGATGCACATAAATCTAGGGGGCCTTTTGTAGACAGATTTGAACTACAGAATAACAGTGGGAAGAAGCACTCCTTATATGGCAATTCTGAGGTGTTCAATGCATCCAGATGTCATAAACTCTGCAGGTAAAGTTGTTGTCTTCCCCAGTGAACTCTGATGGACATGTGCTGCTGGTGGCCTCAAGCTGGGAGTGAATGACTTTTGGTGGATGGTTGTTGGTGAACAGAGTGAGTGGCACTCAGATGCTGAAGGACTCCAGAGGGGAGGAGAGCGCACTTACCTGTTTCTAACTCAATGAATAAACAATTAGAAACAATCCAAACCAAGGGACCTGTATGGGACAATGAGTAACCAGATGAATGATCCTAGTATCATAACTAGTGTGGCAGCTTATTTGGAAATGGCTTGTCTTAACTTTATGGACCAGAATGGCTGTGATGGACCTGACTAGTATCTTATGGTAGTGCTCCCTGGTGTTGCACAGACATTAACTGCCAAGACTGGCAAATGGGTACATTATCTTCAAACTTTAAGAAAAGTATTGTAACTGAAACTCATTCTAGATAAGAAAATGTAATCGTTTTATGAATCTTTTATAATGTGGGTGTCAAAAAGGAATGCTGGAGGCAGAAACTGGCTGTGCACAAAGGGAGAGAAGCATTCAGGTCTACTGCTCTTAAACTCAGAGGAGTCCAGTGATGAGTCCAGGAGTCCAGCCTGACTAATAGGCAGCTCAGAGGGTGCCTGGCAACGTACAGCACTGCGTTGCAAAGACAGAGTGGGTCCTGTTCTCCCCAGCTGGGCAGAGTTTAGACCTGCACCCTAATGTAGAATATGCAGCAACTTATAGTGCTTAGCGGCACCTTTTTATTGTTGTTATTTTTTAAGGTGCAGGCTTCCATCACAGTCAACCTGGTGAGTCACTCTGTCCAGGATCAGTAAAAATACAGCTTTTGCACCATGCTTGATTTGTTAACAGCACTAGGAGAGGTTATGTGAGAAAGCCAGGTATGTGCCTGCTAGGCACACGTGCCACCACAGGGAGCAGGAAGATGTTGTGTGACCATCAAAACTATGCTTAGCAGCCAGGAGCACTGTCCTGCAGCATTCCTGCTAAGGCACACTCACAGCTGAAACACCCAAGCTGTGGCACTGGGGAGTTGGGTTACACAGGGAAGCAAGCTGACTCTTTTGTAGCTGAGCATCTGCTGAGCATAGCACAGCACAAGCAAGGACAGAGTTGCCTGGGGGCTACCTTTGGCTTGCTTCTGTGGAGGTAATGTTTGCTGAGGGTGTTGGAGTGTGCATCTAATTCTCCTGAAAGGAGAGAGAGGGTGTGTTGATAACCATCTTGCTTAGATGAAATGCTTGGGATAGTGTACATATACTTGGCAAATAAAATGAAGCTTTCACCAGAGAGTTGTGAATTAAATCAACCAACTTGAAGTCCACACTGCAGAGGGATGGTTGCTGTACCACAATGCTAAGGTATAAAACCTTTTTTTTGTTGTTATTGGTGTTGGTTATTTGGCTTCAAATGAGTGATCCAGGTAGGCTATGGACACTGAAATTAACCACTGTTATTAAATAGTTGGGGGGAAATGAGTGTCAGCCTCCAGCTTCTAGCAGCCTTCTGTTCCTGTGCTATCCAACTGTACATGGCTTACAGACGTACCGCCAGCTACAGCATTGCCTTGAGCAAGGCTTGAACGCATCCTGGTATTGCTGAGGGTCACAGGGATGAATGCCTTGGGAAAGGTAGAGGCTGAAATGATCTAAGGCAAATATTAACGTGGTTATTTGCTGTTTAGTTAAAGATGATGGGCAGAGGAAGAAATACATCTGAGTGGAGATGATTAATACTATCTTCTCTGCTCTACTACCAAAGGGGGACATGCTGTGCTTTGCTTTTGCTTTCTATCAGTCCCACCAGTGTAAGAAAGAAAGTAGCTGGGAAATCTGAACTGGGAATGCACAAGTAGCATCCAAGTCATGTCTCCACCAAGTGTCGCTAGTGTGGTTTGTATCCCATGTCTGCAGCATACACTTACTCTGCTTTTCCTGTGTGCAGTGTGTAAGTGCTGTGCAGCAGTGGGTTTGTCTCCAGTGAGTGTTATGTGTTTTAGGATGTGTGGGGAGGATGTGTTTTGTGTCTCGTGTGTTGTGCACACGGGACATGCACAGTGGTTAGTGTCTCACAGCTCCAGCGTGAGCGGCTTGTGCAGTGCAAGAAGCAGCACCCCGGGGTGCCACTGAGGTTGCCCCACAGCTGCCCTCCAGCCTGCTCCAACACGTTGTATCCCCCTCCTGCCCAGCATGGGTGTTGTCATGGCCAGCTGCAGCTGTCTGGGGATGGAGTGCCCTGTTGGGGTGCCAGCCAGTCTGGCTGCTGTGCAACAGGATTCTGCCGGCAGCCCTGATGGTGTTTAAGACTGGAAGGGTTTTATGTGTCCCACTTCCCCTCACAGCACAGCCCTGGCTCTGTGTGAGCTGAAGCCCTGTCAAGGGAGGTGGTGGTCTAACACTACCTCCGTGCACAGAAGCAGGTTTCTGTGACTGCAAGATCCACCCTAACAGACAGAGTCCTGAAGGTGAAGGTGCAGGCACAGCAGATGGCTCTCATGCAAGCACCTCCACTGCAGCAGGAATGATGCTGAGGGTGCTGGAACATGTCCAGCTGAGGTGGGGCAGAACTGAAGCTCTTGGAGCCAAGTCTTCTGCTCTTCATCCTAAAGGAAGCATATCTGCAAAAACTTAAATCCAAAGCAATGTCAATTGTTAGAGACATTTGTCACTGGAACAATCTGGCTTTGTAACTCTGCTTAACCAGCTGGGGGAGAAGTCTTGCAAGCATCTACACTAGTCAGTGAGCCAAAAATTCAATGGGACTTGGGCTCTGGATCTGCTTCTGACTGTTTACCTTGTGTTCAGTTGCCCCAAACATAGAGGAACAGTGCAGGGAGGCATTAAGGTCTTGTTTTCAGCCCACTCACTTTATATTTCCAAATCTTGATTTATGCCACTGCATCAAACTGGACCACAGTTTTTCTCTGGTTTTGCATTTTAACTCACCTGAAAGAAAACCATATATACCTCATATCATGCTGAGTGTTAGAAGTATTTATTTTTTTGTTTAAAAAGTATCTCTTTCAATTTGTTACTAGCAATGTGTATTTAAAATACACTTTAACAACAAAGAAATGGAACAGGGGCAAGGGTTGCTTTACATACCTCACAGCAAGACAAAGGACATGGTAACAATTTCCTTCAAAGGTCTTACACTGTTTCACCAACCACCAGAAAAGGCTGATTTTGGCTCCTAGGCACGTGCAGAGAGGATTTCTACAGCAAAATTTCTTGCAGAGGGCCTGAGGGCTCAGATGCTGCCTGAAACAAGCATCACACATTAGAAAAGCTGCAAAGATTTGACCCAACAGCTGCTGCATCTTCTGCAGGGATTTAAAGCACTGGAGCCCTTTCGTAACCTTTCGTAACCTGTCAGGAAAGTCAGGCATTTATTTTTTTAACATGTACACAAATGATATATATAAAGAGAGGTATTTATGTATACACACACAGAGCCACATGTGAGTACGTATATATTTACATGTTTGTATGTATATGAGTAGATAGACAGATGAAGATGGACATATACGTGACTAAAAACGACACTTGGAGTGGCCAATTGACAACCAAGCACTTCATTTTCTAGTTCAGCACTGGACTGAAATCCTGTGCACCTCACAGGCCCAGCTAGTAAATTAAAATGCAACCTCTTCTCTTGTAGCTTGTGTGACAAATGGCATGAGTGTGCAGCCTAAGGACCAGCAGCAGCTAACCTGCTACTGAGGACCAGTGACCCATTTCCATCTCAGCAGCTGAAACTGTACCTAGTATCTTTTTAAAGCCCCCATGGTGGGGAACAAAATGAGGTTGAGAGGGAAGAGACAGCAAGAATGGGGAAAGCTGCTTTTTCGGAGATATGGTGGTTCCTGGTGTCAAACAAGAGGTTACCAGCCCCTGCTCTGGGGTGAGGATTCCAGCTCCGTTACCTTTGAGGAGATGGCTTTTGCCACTCAGCTGAACCCTGGGTCAATGGCTCATCATTTCTTCCTGTGGTTTGTCCCATTCCAATGTCTTCCTTCTCCATGCCCAGTCCTCGGTACTCAGGTCCTGTTTGAGACACAAGCATTAGGTCAGCTACTTCATTTGTTGTTGCAGTGCATTCAGCGCCTACTGAAACTGCTACAGCCTTTCATACATAAAATAGATATAATATTTCTAGAGAAATGATAATATATTATATATATTGGTATGTGTAGATATACCAAATATACATAAAAGATATAAAAGATCTTTTATAAAAGATCTGTAAAAAGACATCTGGCTGACCATCCAGTACTGCCCCAACACCTGTGTCACCCACAAATGGGTGCAGAAACATATCACCCAAACCAAGGCAACTGGAAAACCAGGCACCAACAGTCAGTGTATGGTCACGCACCCACAGTGAGTGTATGCACACCGTGGCTATGCTTGTGAGCCTGTTTCTTGGAAGTGAAAGTATAGGGTAAGTTACCCCACAACACATGCTTTTTTCATGAGAGGAAAGCATTTATAAAATTGACAAGACAGTTCTATAGCTGTAATAGGAGCTTGTACTGTACATGCTTCTTATGGCGCCTCGTTACTGGGCTCATGCTATAGAGACCTCACTGTTATCTGCAGAAAACTTGGTCTCACTGGGCATTTTCTGCACCACGCTTTGCATTCCTCCTCTTTTCCCCAACCATCCTTCCCCAACAAAGGCTCTTTTTTCAGGAGAATTAAGGCACAAATCGTCATATCTGTTCCAAGGGCAGAGTGCGTTGGTCTTACTTACTCTGTGAGGAGTACTGGCATTCATGGGGCTCCAACAGCTGGATCTGAGCATTTCCTTTAATTGAACAGGTTTGCAGTCTCTCTGTGCTGAAGCAATTCTCCACATCACACAAGCCTGCATACCAGAATAAAATGAAAATTTAAGAGCGCTGGCTAACAAGACCGAGAAGCTCATTGTTTAAACAAGAGGCTGATTGTCTGGGTACTCAAGTGCCCCATTCCTCCAACATTAAACCCACACGAGGGACAGCAGCCTAATCCACAGCTTGCCGCCAGGTGGTATAGAAATTAATCTTCCACTTACCCGGGCTATTAGTTGCGGTATTCATAAAGGTTTGCAACCCAACGAGGCAAGTGACTAAAATTTTCTCCTTGTCATAGAGGGTCATGGCAACGTGGTGATATAAAATATCAGCCTGTCCCCTGTGGTGAGGAAAGTGTGAATGATGTGCATGGGGAGGGGGGGGCAGGTGGGTGGGGAGAATGGCACCCCAGCACCTTCTGGTTCAACATGTGCAGCCCCAGGCTCTCTAACTGCACAGTGAATATGTTAGGGGATAGGGGATGGACTGGGAAAACCCAGGCTCACCAAGGACCTGAGCACAGGCCAGCATATCATGCAGGGCTGAGCAAGTTTGGTGTTTACGAAGAAAGGAAATAAATACTGATTTTTCTCACATTTTAGCAACATCAAAACTCCTATTTCTAGTCTGACAGGCCTCCTGCGAGTGCTGGATACACAACAGAGTGACCCTCATTAGGTCTCCCAAAAGCTCAGGACATGTTTTGGATCTGCTTGGCAGGACATTTAACTCGTCTTCCTAACAGGGTATTAGCAGAACAGAAGAGGAAGAGAAATCTAGTCCTTTATTAGTCCGCTGCTCCCTTAAAGTCCAGGGAGGAAAGGGAAAATACTCAGCAGCAAGCAGGTGATCAAAACAGGGACCACATAAACAGAAACATTTGGAAGGGTACAGCCTCGCGAATGTTCAGCATGATTGCTTCCAGTTTTCATCTCCTCACATTTCACTGCAGACGTAATTCGTCGCAAAGCACTGCCAAAACTTTTCACAACACCAAGGGACGTAGAGTTTGATACAGATAATAATATTTACAAATCTTACAAATTTTCCCCCCACACTTTCCTGGTGTTTTCCCAAAAGCTTGCAATCCCATCTGGCTACAGGTTATCTTACTGCCCTCTTAATGACTTCCCTAGCCTCAGGAGCTCATAGTTGTGCCACAGGGAGGTGGCAGCCTCTTCCTTTGCATATGTGGGGCTGACGTATCTTGCTGTGCAAATGGAAAAGCAAACAGTCAGGGCCAAGCGCAAGTCAGTCCCTCACCATGTGTTTGTGCATGACTCTGACTTGGTGCCCAGGTATGTCTCCAGGTCATCCCAGGTTATGCCCCAAGCTGGAGAAACATTTTGCAAAACACAACAGCTTTTAACAAACAGTGACACCACAGTCCCCCTTTGCTACATATATTCCTCCTGTCTGTGTCCTCACATGGCAGCAATTTAACAGTTTATGCACCAACTTCTTCCACATCTTCTGTCAAATTTCCAGCTATATCAAATTTTTATTTTTCCAGGGTTTGATTAAGTTAAAGGTCTAAATTTTTGCCAGATAAAAGTAGAACTGAACAAATCTGAAAGGCTTTAATGCAGGGTTGTTTGTTTTTTTTATGGATCCCATGAATAGCAGCAGAGCTAATTCAGAGCTTGGACTTAGAGGAATTTGAATCCAAATTATTTTAGTTCCTCTTTTGGCTTGCTTTATAAAACACACAGCCAGTAATTCCACAGCCTCTCTCAAACTCCTTTCTATAAATAACAATTTACCATTGAAAAGAAATGTAAAGGGTCAGAGCTATGCTCAGAGATTCACATATCACCCACAAAAGGAGCAAGTTGGACACAGGCTGAAAAGTAAATTTCCCAGGATGGGAAGAACTGAAGAAATAAGATATTTAATTCCTTCTGGTTCCATATCTTTACTTAATCTGGTATTAATACCACCAGCAAGCACTGCTGCACGGTGAGTCCCGAGACAACCTCACACCTGGCAAAGAGCAGAAGCAAGTCTGCAGTCCCACCACTAACCCCCATTCTTAGCTGCCAGTGGATCAAGCCTTTGGTAACTCCTTGAATCACTCTCTGCACTGATGTGACCTCACCTTGAGTGCTGTGTGCAGTTTTGGGCATCACAATATAAAAACGGCACTAAGCTTTTAGAGAGTGTCCAGAGAAGGGCCATAAGGATGGTGAAGGGTCTGGAGAAGAGGCCTTATGAGGAGCAGCTGAGGACACTCAGTTTTGTCAGCCCGGAGAAGAGGAGACTGAGGGGAGACCTCACTGTGGTCTTCAAGGGGAAATGGAGGGGAAGGTACTGATCTCTTCACTCTCATTACCAGTGATAGGACTAGAGTTTCCTCTAGAAATGGCATGAAGCTGAGTCAGGGGAGGTTTAGACTGGATATCAGGAAAAGGTTCTTCACTTAGAGGATGGTTGGGCACTGGAACAAGCTCCCCAGAGAAGTGGTCACAGCACCAAGCCTGTCTGAGTTCAGGAAGCATTTGGGTAACAGACCCTAATACTGTTTCCATTTGAGAAGGTACAAATATTTCTCTTATATAGCTTACTGAAACTTGCGGCTGTAACATCACTGCAATCTGTTTTCTCCTGGAAAAGTTTGTTACTCAGTGTGAGAAAACCATTTTGTTTAATACTAAACTTTCAATTAAAGCCTATTTGTATTTTATAAGCACTGAGAAGTTAAATAAGTTGTCTCTCTATATATCATAAAAAAATTACAGCTGGTTCCATTGTCTGGTAAAAAAATAAAAAAGCCATCTCTGCCTCTTGATTTGTCTTGAAACACATAACTGAGTTGCTTTTCCCACTCATAGTCTGCTATTCTTTATACATAAAGCCTACTTTCTAGGAGCACTTAAAATATTTGTACACGTCTACCACAGTCCTAGATTTAGCCATGTGCTACTCTGAGCAGATGGAAATTAGGGTGGAAGCGTGTGGTTTACAGGAGTGACAGTCTTTATGGAAAAAAACCAAAAAAACAACTCACACCAAAATTAGCCACTCATGGGCTTTGTGCAGTCATTGCTATTGAGTACAACTGGGCAGAGGAATATTTGCTTTACACATGCAGCATTTTTCACACTGTGGTTAAGACACAGCCCCACGACTACTGCAGGCACCACAACCTCAGAAAAATACTTTGAGCCAAGTTCTGTCCTTTTAGAAATCCCCTTCCACAACTGTGAAACTTTTGTGGCCATCTGTTCTGCACAAGCCCAGCATCGTTTGCTGAGTACTCCACCTCAGCAACCTGGAAATCCCAGCCTGGTGAGCATCTCCCCTCTTGCACCCTGTTATCATCCACTGAGAGCCATTATGATATTTTTTTCTTTCAACCTTACACAGCTCTCACTTTCACATTGGCCCTTCTGGCCCCATCTTCTAAAATATGTCTTAGAAAATGGAAATTCCTGTCCATACACACTTGGTCCACACATGGTGAATTCAGTGGGAGCTCTTGGCAGAGGACCACCCTGCCTCCAAATCAGAGCCTCCTCTCATCTCTAAACCAATTTTGAAAATGCAACAGCACCTGCCAGGCAAGGACAAATCATTAAAACATCTCAAATTGTCACTGTTCCCCTTTTGTTCAAAGGAAACAAGGAACACTAGATGGCCCACAACCCAACAGCTATCCAAAGACAGAAGGTCATCTGCCACTAATCCACTACAGACTCTGTAACACATCATACAGGGACCAAGGGCACTAGGGCCCCATGAGGCAAAGTCTGGGAGCACTGATGAGCAAGTCCATCTATCTCCCCACAGCTCAGCTCCCAGTCTGTAACACAGGGCTCTTCTCTTGGGATGGATATTCCGATATTACACTTACAGGCTGCAAGATCGTAAGAAAGAGAAACAAACAAAAATACATTTTTTTTTAAGACTAGTGATTCCTTCTTCCAATCGTTCTCCATTATAGAATATTCTTTATGTCCTTCATCAGTCTTGTACTTGGTTACAGATGGAAAATATTAGCTCTGGTTTACAAAACATGGCCCTGTTTCCTGTAACACAGCACAGGTTGGACAAATCTGTCATTTGAGTAGTGTGTCTATTCTGTGGCCAATTCTGTAATCTACAAGCAATGTGATCCTAAACAAGGAATCTCATGTTAGCAGCCAAGATTGGAAAATCCCTGTTTAGTGTGATTGCTGCCAAAACCATCTCACTTGCTAAGGACAAGCTAATTTTCAATCTGCAGTTTGGGAGTTGTTTTTTTGTTTGGTTGTTTTTTTGTTTTGTTTCACTTGGGTTTTTTAAGAAATAAAACATGCCCCATTTTCTAAGAGGACACAAACAAACACCTGATTTATAAATGTACAAAGTGGATTTAGGAGAGTTTAGGATATATGAAAACATATCCCACTCCCTATTTATTAAAAAAATATTCTGTTTTTGAACACAATTTGAACAAATGACTTTTTGCAAATCTGAAGAGTTGTAATTCAGAACAAACAGCAACAAGACTGTTGTGTACAAATAAGAGGAGAAGAGCAAGGAAACAAAGAAAAAAGTGTTATATCACAGAGATAAGACAGATCAAGGATGATCTAGATACAGCTTTAAATGAGAACTTGACCTCAGTTTTGATCATCTCATATCCTCACTGCTATTATTTATATCGCCTTGATCCATCTTGCAAACTAAGATGGAAGCAAGGCTCAAGAAATTTAATATATCCAGGTTGGCAGACACAGAAATGAAAGGCAGAAAAAGCTACATAAATTATTAATTATAAGTTTTTCAGGTTGCAGATGCTTCCAGCTGATAAAAAAAAGAAATGCAGTGCCAATATTTAAAAGTAGAGCTCAGAGAAATTACTCAAAAGAATTAGATTTAAGTATTTAGTGTTTTTGAAGAAATCTTAAGGGAAAGGAGAGAGGAGCTTGATTAGACAAAGGAGAAGGCAAGCGTATAATATGCACCAACTCGAAAACAGTGTGATCTTTCTTACACTCTATCACTAGAGGAGTCCTCAGAAGACATGGAGGAGTATTCATGTCACTACACAAGTGTCAACAGTATCTCCTTCAGTTGCTATGTTTCAACTCAGTATTAAAGAAAGGAGAATTTCATTTTGAAATATGTGCAGGGAGAGGTCACAGAAAACCATCTTGAGCCAGACCTGACCTCATTTGGTATCACATGTACATTTTCCAGGGTTTGAATTCTTCTGTCTTTGCTCTTCTAAATGCTCCTTCTGTAGTTTCCTACATGAAGAGAGTCCTTCTGTTTAAAGAAATTTGGGATGGCAGGT